ATCACTTTCATATTATTTCAAATTCTCAGTACACATAAAATGTTTTATAAGCATTCGCTTTATGTTTTATGAATTACAATAAATTTATATTAAACTAGCTGTGCCCACGACTTCGTCCACGTGTAATTTAAAATAGAAAAAAATCTTAAATTAAAGTAGCCTAAGTTAATCCTCATTACATCAGCTATCTGCCAGTGAAAGTCCTGTCCAAATCGGTCCAGCCATTTCAGAGATTAGCCGGAACAAACAGACAGACAGACAGACAAAAATTGTAAAAAATGTTATTTTGGTATATGTACCGTGTATACATCCATATGCATTTAGTAAAAAGCGGTTATTTTAATATGACAAACAAACACTCCAATTTTATTTATCTGTATAGATTATTAGTTTTATAGAGTTGGTCGCAAGCGGCTCACGTGATGGTCACCACCACTTGTGATATTCAGAAGAGATATGAACGTTGCCTGCCATTGAGAAAAAAACAGGCTTCTTGAAGTTGCTGTTCCTCTGCTGATGCCACAAAGTAATAAATTTAAAGGATTTTTATCCAAGTCTCTAATTAGTTTTATCCGCGAACGCTTCTCGTGGACGGCAACCTTTGGCAACCTTCTGGTAACATTTCGCTTCGCTAGGGGCGTTTTGAATTGCCCGTGAATCCGCATACCAGATTGGCGATAGAAGCCTAATGGGCCACATTCAGCGGGGAGATTAATACACCGGACGCAATTTTAGCTCTTACATAACGGCACGTCATTTGCACACGTTTTATTTAATTATTAACATAAATGACTTCTTAATGTAACAAATATTTGATTGTTTGATTACTCGAAAGTGCGTATACAAGTCGTCAAAAAACTAACAGTTGCTTGTTACTTGAAATATTTATAAATGTTTTGTGTGAATTTAAAAAAATTAAATCTGAAACCAATAAATAAAAAAACAAATTAATTCAAATTAATGCCAATAAATTTTTTTTTAACAGTAAAATATAATAAATGTATAGTGTTATATTCATATATATAACATATGAATTTTCGTTTGTTGTCGGAAGTGAGTTGTCGGAAAATGTGATATACATAGCCGTTGAAATATTTGGTAATACTCGTTTTTAGTTTAGCCCCGAAGACTTGTGTAAAAGTGCACGGAAAAGTATCTTTGATTAGCTGTTTAAAAGTATAACTTCGTTTTTGTTATTTAATTTAAAGTAAAAGAGAGCAAATGAACCATTGTTACACTATTTAATTTTTTTGCGAAGTTATAATATTATCCGCCGTACGCCTGAAGGCCAAAATGTTTACAAAAAGCTATTGTTAAGACAATCCGTTATTCCTGTTCACAAATAGCACACTTCACCTGTCCAACCTGTTATCCCAATAGCCATAGACAGCGGTCCATAAACAATTACAAATTAGCGAAACGACCGCCAACGAATATCCAAAGACATCGAATGAATCAACACGCCCGTGGGGCGTTCGGCCGCTCGGTGAACTTGCGTAATTTATAACGAGCAATAACAATGTGTGCACTATCTGTGGGGCAATTTCTCAAACGCACACCTCGCCCGTAGCGGCGGCTATCGGGCGATTTAAATGGCCGACGCCCGCTCCGGCTCGCGCGGACGGTCTCGGCCCAGCACCCTTATTAAATGATAAGCGGCCGGCGCGGCGGTTTATTCGGAACAGATTAAAAATAATCTCTAATTATATTGTAATACCGCAGGCGCGGTCTGGATCCGAGCGGTAGGATGATCCCGATTTTTATAGCGCCCGTCTCGTAACCGTCTCCGCATAAGGTACACGGCGACTAGCTCACCACTTGTCACATTTTTTTTCTTCTTCTTTTTTTAAAAACATTGCCCTTAGTTTAGGATATCATTATCCCTTGCTGTAAGGACGTTTTACAAACATAAATTTCACGCGGACAAACACCCAGATGCGAAACAATGATCTGTGGGTCACAGAAATAGTTGTCTCGTGTGGGAATCGAGCCCACTACCCCCGACGCTGAAGCCAATACCTTGACAACTACGCCACTGAGTCATGACGGCCTTTGCTCTGTTAAATATGGTATTTATATAACGTAATTAACATTCATGATATTTAATTTAGCTACGAGAGCAATGTAAGATGTGATGAATTATTGTTTACATATAAGCTGCTGCAAACTTATTGGTGACACTAAAATATTATATCCGCTTTAAGTGTATAAAGGTCTAAATTAAACTATATTGTTAAAACAACATTAAACTTTTCAGCTTGCTACAATCTCCAATAATCTTGTTTTTTTACGTATGAAGTTTTGGTAATTTCCCTTGTGATGACGTTTTTACCTTTTTAGGTTTACTGCTTTTGACTCACAATAACAGAACATGTAATTATTTTTTTCTTGCTTCGAAGGAATCTCTAATAATCTGAACTCAACACAATAACTCTCAGAATCGATCGGGTGCTAAGTGAAATACTATTGCGTAAGGCAAGAAGTAGAAAATTAAATTAAGACTGGGAAACAGAACTTGTTTACATTGTCGCTTTCTTGCAATTAATTTCTTAACATAAAAGCTTGTAATCATGTTTCAGACTAATCTTATGTGCTATTAATACATACGCTTTCTGCTGGCCGGGTGCCTGATGTCAAAACTCCTTAGGAATAAACTCAGGGCACCATTGCTGGGCAAAGGCCTCCTCTGTAAAGAGGGTATCAGGGCATAGGCCACCACGCGGCTCCACTGCGGGTTGGGGGACTTCACATATCTTCGAAATATTATTTTTATTATTATTTCGAAAGTACGCAGGTTTCCTCCCGATGTTTTCCTTCACCGCAGAGCACGCGTAAGTCAGCGCATAAAATTAACATTTTCATTGGTGCCGGCACTGGGGATCGAACTCAAATTGCTCGAGTACGTTATTAATATCACGGCTAAAAAAAAAAAAAAAAAAAAACTAGAATATTATTCTCTTCGGCGCTTTCGTATTTATTGAATACGTATTTCAACGACTCCGTCGTGCGGTTGTCACCCACAAACAATTTGAAATTTTTTTGTAAAACGCTCTTATAATACAGGATAATGTTATGCTGCAAAAAGGGAAATTAAAAAAAAAAACTTGATACATTATTGACATCTTCAGATTGACAAAACGATAACACACTCGCGGAGCTGTCATCAGGTTTTAATACTCATGTATCATATCTTGTTAAGATAATAACATTCCATCTAGTCGTTGTCTAGTAACTTGCCCAATCACATCATAATAACTATTGGTGTGTCCAGAGAAAAATTTGTAGGATAGAATATTAATTAAATTTACATTTTACTCGCCCTGTATAGTTCCGATAATAATTTAGGCCTAACTTCTGAGATATCAAATTGCGAAATCGATCATCTTGAGCGCCGAAATAAAAAAAAGGCAGTGTGTGTACTTATGTACGCACGTTAGGTTATTATCGACATAATTTTTTTATGTTCAAACTATTAATAACTTAGCAAACCACCTTAGATGAAAATAAATCCTACAAAAATCAAATTAAATGGGCTCAATCAGAAAAGTACCAAATATTTAAAAATGATTAATAAATTAAACACAAGTATGTTAATATATGATTATATTAATACAAATTTGATATTTTTTCATCATATAAATTGTGTGTTAATATTGTGTATTGGTCCCTTCCGCCACCTTATCACTACACACATTTTATTATTTTAAGTTGTTAATATTATCGTAATTACTGTTTTAATACATATTTTTGTACTAGTATTCTTTTTCTTTATGTAAACATTTTTTTTCTCTGTGTATTTTTGTTATTGTAATTTTAGTGTTAAAGTTTTGTATCATTATTATAAGGTGACGAAATAAATCTTTTTAATGCCTTTAATGTTACATTTCCACGCGCAACTTCGTCAGACGTAAAAAATGTACTCTGCTCCGTTTCCCCAAAGGTAATAGGAGTATAACTTCAAAAAATTTCTCGAGAGAACGTTAAGAACAGCCGTGTTTCGCGTATAATCACATTAGGAAACAAATTAATTTTCGACGCCTGGGAACTGGCCAGAAATTTAATTAACGGTAAACAAGAAAACAAATGTCTAAAGGGCATAAAGAAAAAGGAAGAAAAAAGCTATGACGGGTATCCGAACGTTACCTGCGAACCTAAACTCCACGCACCTTGTGGCAAATTGAAAACGGCGCGCTTGCCCTGCAAGCCAATAATAAATTCTCAAATAATAATAATTCATAAATAATAATCCCGGAGGAGCCAAAATAAAATACACGTCGAAATAATAAAGGATTCGCCCGGGATCGGTGGACACAGTCTGCTTTTTTGATAGTGATTAATATGAGTTGAAAAATAAATCAATTTTTACTGTAACATTTTGCCATTGTGATACGGGTAAATGAAAAAAATTATGGGAAACAAAATGATACGCAAATGTTGGTGTTGGTTTCATTACATAGAATATGAGATTTATATTATAGATTGTTACTAACGTGAGAGTAATGTTTAATTATGCACTATTTTTTAAGTGTTGGCATTATTAGTTATAAATTTATCCGTATCATATCATTCATCCCGTTATTCATCTCTTACTAATAAAAGGGGATAGCGTATGGATTATGTGTGTATGCACTATACTTACGGTTGTATTAACATAAGTAATTATAACATCGTAACATGGACACATGTATAAAATATTATTGGAAAAAATAGCTTCAAAAAATCTGTTCAATGTTTTGTAAAAGTGCCGCGAACAGACGCCGTACTGTTCCAGTGTCAAAAACGAAAGCGACTGAAATAATCGCCCCGTGTACACCGGTCCCGGGCGAACGAAATTGTTTTTTCGTGCAACATCTATAATTAGACGATACGTTACGTTTTTGTTTGGCCCACATTTCCCGATCCCCTAATTTCTGGTGGGTTTTTTGCCGCGCCTTTTGTAGTCGTTAATATGATTACGCCGTGGAGATGATGGCTTCATACCCGTTTTAGGTTATAACTTAATTTGGGCCGGCGCGGCGTGTTTGTTTTTTATCGTTGTTCCCGACTTCCTGAGAGCGGGCGCGGTGTGGTTTTTTGCGCATGGTCGTTAGGCCGAGGTTATTGAATGTGATGGCCGGTGGACTGTCAGCTTCGAGTCTCCCGCTGCCCGTCACGTATCTTGGTGCAGAGCCCACACGGTCCGCGGTGTACTGGCGAGTGTAGGCGTTTTGTCCGCGCGGTACACGTGTCCTCACGTCCCGCCATTAACGGCTCTACGTATTCGGGCTGCGTTCGTAAGTGTTAATTAATTTCTAATAGCGTCCCCGTCGCTGCACGCGCACTTGATCAGCTAAGGCGCCCACTCACGGGCCCTTTTAAACAGTAACGATAAGTACTTTACAACGATATTTTCTTAGATTTGTTCAAGTAGTTTAAGGTCTCGGATGTTAGGGAATAAGAAATTTGCAGGATATATCGAATTACATGCATTATCGTAAGTGTCGTCAAAAGGCAAATACAATGAAGACCATTTGTTTTTTTTACTTATTCGGTATCACGTTAGAAGATCGGAATAAAATAATTATAATAAGGCATATTACGTATGATACTGACAGTAAATACGTATGAGACAACAGACTCACAGGGTGGAACTTTTCATTTAAAAAAAATTAAGGATTCTTAAATTAATTCAAATTTCAACGAATTGTTAAGTAACATCATTTTTATAGTTTTTAACGCGTTTTATTTTAAAAATAATAGTTTTCACATACACTTCACCATATTAAGGAACGAGACTGAGGCGTTAGTCGTCCCAATTAAATAGTTACCCACCGGCCTTACGATTATTTATTTTTGGTCTAATATATGCATAACATGTTTACATTATATGAGGTCTTTCAATGTTTGTGCGCTTTGAATTAACTTTATAACTGTTATAAATGGTTTTTTGTTTTTATTTTTTTAATTCCCTTACATACAACAGACTGTAATATTACTAGGTAGCATGGTTGCTGGGCCATGGACTTCTGCGCCGGGGCGGCACACGGGACAAGTATTTGTGTGACCCACGGATAATTGTAACAGTTCTGGGCCTTTATTCCGAAGGAGAGATGACGTCAGGCAGACTGCCGGTTGTAACAAAAACCCTAACCAATATCATTCTCAACATAATTTGAATGTTGTGCCTTTCCCATCTAGGTGGGATAAGAGCAGGAAAAAGAGGAAGAAGGACAGACCATATATACACCAAGCATTCACATTCCTCGATCTTGCAGTGGCATTTTCACTTCACACAGGGCGTAGAAAAATATATTGCAAACGAGCTGGCGGTTCACCTGACGTTAAGTAATAACCGCCGCCCATGGACATTTGCAACACCCATGGGTTTGCAAAAATTCCATTTCTTCTGGAGTTTTGCTCTCGATTTGTTATTGATGTATCTTATTTGATTGACAGTAATGAGGTAGAAGACATATTACGCCAATCGGGTAGCGTTATAAGTGGCCTAGTCTTCAAACAGTTCTTTAAGATGTCGCAGATGCATATTATGTAGTTGGAGCTATTATATAGGCGGACCGTAGTCATGTAAAATACAAATCGAGGTAAACGTTACTAGGAATCTTTCCGCAAATCTATTTACATGGATTAATCTATAAATGTGCAACATACTAACTTGCAGAGAATTTTCAAGCGTTCGCCAAGCTGTCTCAAGAAAACTAAAATTCAATTAAAATATCTTTATTCAATATATAAGTTACACTTACTTATTGTTTGTCAAAAAACACTATTACTGGTTCGGAAAAAAAGCCTCTGAGCTGAGAAGAACCTGCGAAAAAAACTCGGGACAGTTTTTTTTAACATAATTTGACAAAAACAAACATATTTACACTATTAAATTACACTTGAAAGAGCCTAGAGCGATCAATTAATTTCCAGAGTGTGTTATCATTTAAATAATCACTAATACTATATCTTAATATAATGATATCGAATATAATAGCCTCTAACACACAAACATTCCTTTATAAGCTTTTAATTTAGCAACTGATTAATTTTGAACGTTTTCTGGAATTATGTTGCATACGATTTTAAATAAAATATTTACTTATTCTACGCAATCTAGATGTATTCAGTTCAGCGGCTTTCCAATATCTTCAAAGTACTGGATTTTTATTTGAGATAGGAGTTATTATTAACTATTTAAATTACACACGGCGTCCAGTGTATAGGCGGCCGTAGTAGTAATGTCTTAATAAAGGCAACGGCCGATTTGACGGGGAAATTGGCGCGCGGCGCGACGTGCAAATTGGCCGAGGGGCGCACGCGACCGGCGCCACAGCCGATATGAATTACTGCCCTATTTAAATCATCTCTGTCTATTAACAGCGGAGTTGTACGTTTGCCTTTTTCGACAAAAAAGAAAAAGCGTCTTTCTCTCTCTCTCCCTCTCTCTCTCTTTCAAGCTATGTATCCCACAGGGCGGTGGGGTTAGCTTTCCTTATTCTTTCTCTCCTTTTCACTCTATCGTGGACATATTCATCGGACACTTGACATTCTACCTATCTCTTAGCACTTCACCTTTCATTTTCTTTAAAAAAAAAAAAAGCGCCATTTACCCAAAAGGACTGCGAACACGACCTTTCTACCATGTTCTGTCAAATACTACCTGATTGTTGCTTCAAGTTTCTAAATAGCTTCAAGTTGACGACTAAGTAAAAACGCTGCATATGCCTGTATCTGCGTTAAGGGAGAGCCAAGGAAAGCGTCAGTATTTACTCAGCGACTTTTAATATTTTATAATGTGGTCTAATAGAGATACGTTTTCTTTACATCGCAAGAATTCATTTTTTTCTAAATCGTGTGATGTAAATATAACGTATATTTCACCTTTATGGGGTTAATATACATTTGTAAAGAAACATACATGCGCACAGAAGTATTCACACGTTCTTTACATAATACATTAGAAATAGAGTTCTTCTTTATGTTAAAGATCAGCAAAACGCCAATTTATCAATACCCATTAGCTAAGTAGAACTAAGCCCGTCGTAGATTAAGCACCGTTAATAGTTACGAGTATTTGCTATTTAAGTGTTGATTTATTACGCCGTTTTATCGATTTAGAGCCTTAATATTCTCTCGGAGGAAGTCCCTGCCGGCTACCGATCTGAATTGACTATCCCTTTACAGTTACAAGATCAATTAGAATTGATCGTGTAACTAGCAAATCACTAACTCAATTTACAGTTCATTCAAAGCTAGATCAATCATCGAGACTAACTAGGGCCTTAATCTTATCCTTTAAACGAGCAATTCTTGTATATATATATATATATATATATATAGTACCCGGAGGACCGAGCTTTGCTCGGTTTGTTTTTTTTTTGGTAAATCGTGTATTTTGGAAATTACATTTAGATACAAATTACTAAGTAAAGAAATATGCTTAATATGTTTCGATCTTACCGACGTAATAATTAGAAAATATGAACTGGTGTTTTTCACAAAAGAAAGAACTTTAAAAAAAAAGGGAAAAAAGTAACAAAATAACAAATCGACAGAAAATTAAAAATAAAGAAAGCAATGATCTGGAATCGAAAAAAAAGTAAAAAAATAAATGTGTAAATGATCGTGACGCGAACCACGGCCGTCTGTTTTGGGGCCGCCCGATTACCGACCGAGGTATTATGACATCTTCTCTTGCGGCGAAATTTCGCCGATTATATAAATAAATATATTATATAATAAAACCTAGCTAGATCGATTTTTCGCCCCCGAATCTATGCACATACTAAATTTCATGAAAATCGCTGGAGCCGTTTCCGAGATTCTGATTATATATATATATATATATATATATATATATATATATATATATATAACGTTACGTTGTTATATATATATATATATATATATATAACGTAAGCAACATGTTTTGTATATTCGATAAGGATCTGCGTAATGTAGCTATTTGTCGTGTTGCTTTAAGTATACACTTCCTTAATGGTCTTGGCTGCAATAAATGATAGGAGATAAGCCTGTTTTCATAATAAACTAAATTATGCATTAGGTCATTCAACTTAGGCCGCAGTTCGCGAGAACCAGATCGATGGTCTCAGTTTTCAGTCCAAATCAATACAAAAATAAGGTACGCATATATTTGGGATTTTGACGATTGATTAAATGACGATATAATAAAGATGACGTATGCCCATATTGTGCAGCGTTTAAAAATTGTTCCGCTTTACATTATCTCTGTATGTCTGTCTCGCTTTCATGCCAAAACTACTGAACCGATTAAAATTAAATTTTGGTACACAGATAGTCTAGAGCCTGAGAAAGGACATAGGCTATTTTTTAATTGGAATTTTATTTATAGAAAGATATATATTTAAGGGCTTCAACGCGAGCGAAGCCGCGGGAGAAAAGCTAGTGACATATAAGTGAATGATGACAGCTGATATAGAAAGTATGATACGGAAAGAGCATCAATCTTCATGGTATAATTACACCAATTGGGGTAATTTGAGTTATTAATAAATTAACCTTAATTTACTACCTTAATTTCGGTGCGCCAGTGTCATATCTACCTCGTATATGTATTGCAGCCATTAATTTTGACTTGGACCAGATCTGAGACTGGACTAACATGTTTATCGTCGCTGTTAATCCTCCAGTGCCAGTCAATCATCATGGGTAGTTCTTGTCGAATAAAATCACTGGACTACAAGCTTATTTCACCTGTTGTCTTTAATGGAACCTGAATTACCATTCTCTTCACATATCACAAAATTTACGGCTAATTATTACAAAAAGCTTATTGTAAGGTGAATAACATTAAGAGGTCTGTTCCGCTATAAGTTTTTCCTCCCTTCATGCACAAAATTGTTGCTGGTTAAGATACTGGTGCTGCCAATACAGATATTTGTGCTGCTGGTAATTGATTATGCCGATGTTTGCTACTCGGATGTGTATCAGGATCTTTATATATTTAATAATATTTAAAGATACTGATAGTAATATATAAAGAAATATTTTAGTAACCTTTTTTTTTAGTAAATGTCTTACAGGTGTTATATATTTAAACTGGCGACCCGCACCGGCTTCGCACGGGACATCTTCCTGTTGAGTCACACTATCAGTAAAAAAAACCGCATCAAGATCTGTTGCGTAGTTTTAAAGATCTAAGCATACATGGGGACAGGCAGAC